GCCCCCCCCCCCCCCTTCCCCCGGGAAAGCTGAGGGTCCGTCCACCGTCCGGAGGGATGCCCGGAAAAGGGAAGGAGTTGTACTACCCCAACAGCGTGGAGTGTGCTGTACTGGACCTTTCGGAGTGATGGCCCATTTCTGTTTTGGGTTATTGCTGCTGCTGCTGCTGCAGTGGCTGAATGGGAAGTCCGAGATTCTGTTGTGGAAGGGTATGTCCGGATACCTAGGGGAAAGATGGGATGGGATCTTTAGCTGAGAAGCTCGAGCTCGAGCTCCAGCGCCAGCGCCAGCGCCAGCTATAGCCTAGTGCAGTAATTCCCCCCCTCCCTGCCCTGTCTTTGCCCCTGCTTTTTGTTTGATGAGGGTCGGAGAGTAACGAAGAAAAGCGGTCTACTTGACGCCACATCCACGAGGTTGGGAAGTGTAAAAGCTCCCAGATTCCCATGGTTGAGGATTAGAGTTGGGGATATGACGACTGTTCACTCAACCGGTTTTTCTGTGCATTGTCTTAGTTTTGATTTTGAATCGTTTGTTGCTGTTGTTGTTTCTTTTTCTGAAGAATACTCTCAAGTATTGACTTTTGTGTTGGTGCTGTGGGGTGAATGAAACCCACATGTGTTTTTGGGCTTTGGGAGACCAAGAGATTTAAGGTATGGCTCGTGCACTTCCACCCACCCACCCACCGAAGGTGTGTTGTGTTTCTGGTGCAGTCGAACGAGAACGTGAAAGCATGATGATGACGATGATGAGGACGACGACGATGCTGACGCTCTCACCGCAGCCGCAGAATCCAGCCCTAAAAAGCAATGCGCGACTGGAGCATGGAAGAGCCGATGGACGGGATCGCGGGCGAGCTCTCGACGCAGCACGGGGGCCTGCGGTCGACGCTGCTCTTCTTCATGGCGGTGGCGTGGTACAACGTGATCGAGCTGGTGGTGCTGGTGCTGACGACCTTCCGGCGGTGGCGGGGGCTGTACTTCTGGAGCCTGCTGCTGTCCGGGGTGCTGGGGGTGGCGCCGTACACGGTGGGGTTCCTGCTGAAGTTCTTCACGCAGACGCCGGCGCTGGCGACCGTGACCGTGCTGACGGTCGGCTGGTGGACGATGGTGACGGGCCAGTCGCTGGTGCTGTACTCGCGGCTGCACCTGGTGCTGCGCGACGAGCGCCTCCTCCACCGCGTGCTGCGCATGATCCTCGCCAACGTGCTGCTGCTGCACGTCCCCACCACCGTGCTCACCTACGGCGCCAACCTCCGCCAGACCCCCGCCTGGCTGCGCGGCTACAACATCATCGAGAAGCTGCAGCTCACCGGCTTCACCGTCCAGGAGGTCGTCATCTCCCTGCTGTATATCTGGGAGACCGTCAAGCTGCTGCGCATGTGTGCGGCCCGCGAGAACCGCAAGATCATGCGCCAGCTCGTCGGGATTAACGTCGCCATGCTGGTGATGGATCTGGTGCTGTTGAGTCTTGAGTATGCGGATTATTATGCCGTGCAGATTAGTCTGAAGGGCGCGGTGTATAGTATTAAGTTGAAGTTGGAGTTTGCCGTGTTGGGCCGGTTGGTTGCTGTCGTGCATAATCGGTGTCCGCCGGCGCCGATTGATGGGGATTTGCAGCTGAGTCGGTATGCTGGGGGACAGCAGGGGGAGGATGATGATGGTGGTGGGCATGGTGGGTCGGGGGGCGCGATGGCGGCGGCCGCGGCGGCGGCGACGGCGGCCAGGAGTGTCGCCGTGCAGCGGGCCCCGTTGTGCGTGACCGGGGAGAGGACCCATCGTCATCTCGCATTGAATGAGGTGAATGTCTCGATGAAGTGGAAGAATCGGACGGACTTGGAGAAGGGCGACTGCGATTCGGAGGTCCACCGCGCTTGTTGGAGGTGAGGTGAGGTAATGACTCGATATGATATGACGGTTATGAATTCATGTGTGCATGTGTCTATGTGTATGTATCTAATTCTCAGGTTCCGACTCCGCACTTGATGTCAGGATAGTGAACAATCAACATGGGTCAGTCCGGTCACAGCCAGAAAGGTCTGTAGAGAGGCCTGTACAAGGGGATGAGGGAGATCAATTCCCATCCAACGACCCAGCATCCACCTCTTCGCCTTCAATCCACCCGAATTCTCCCTCGGAGTCCTCTTCATCCTGGCTGTCGGCGATCTCTTCCGCTTTGCGCTTCCGTTGACTGGCCGAGGCTTCAGGGTTTTGGGTGGAGCTTGCTTCCACGACGATCTGCTCTGGTCGTTCGGCCTGCGGAGGCGAAGGAGTATCCAAAGCGTACAGCCCATCCTAACAGCAACCCAGTTAGCCTTGCTTTCACCTCAATACACTCCCCACAACAGAACATCAAGAACAGAAGACAGGGAACACGAACCTCGCTTACCCCAAACCCAACCACCGTATCCCCGACAACCCTCCCGCGAACCACCCTCCCTCCCCTCTTCATCACCTCCACCACCCTCCCCTTCCTCCACCCTCCATCTCCCTCCCCCTCTGCCTCAACGAAGTCCTGATAGACCACCATCCGTGTAAACACACAGCTCTCCCAGGCCGCCGACCCCGCCACCACGGGACACAGCGTCGCCCGCACCTGGCCCCGAATCCGGGTGTGGGTCTGGTTCGTCACCAGCACGGCCGTGTTCCCTCCTCCGCCTCCGCCGGCTGTACTAGCCAGCTTGGCCAGCTGCGTCGCCAGATCGCTCAGCACGTTCCATTTGCGGTTGACCAGCCACTGGATGTGGGCTTTGTCATGCACCTGCGAGGAGGCGCTTAGGGCGGCGCGTTGGTCGCTCGGGTTGGGGAAGTAGGGGGGAAAGGGGGCGGAGATGGAGTCGACGACCAAAAGGGTGGTGGACGGTGGGGGGAAGTTGGGGGGCGGGTGGTGGATGAGGGAGAGGAGGTGCGGGAGGGTTGGGGTGTGGATGTGAATGAGGTTTTTGGCTTGGAGGCTAGGGTCAGATTGGTTTGGTTGTTGCTGTGCAGCAAGAAGGCGGTTGAGTTGGCGGCGGGGGAGTGGGGGGCCCGTGTCTGATATTGAAGTTTAGTTTGGGGTGTGATGGAGGTATAGGTGGTGGTATAGAAAGGGGAGAGGAACGTACCTATCCAGACGACTGTTTCGCCCTTGGCTAGGGCTGTTGCTGCGGTGTTTAGGCTGCGGTGGCGTGTTGGTTACTGAGGGGGTAGATGTTGGCAGGGGGAAGGGAAGACGAACGCTATGGCGGTCTTGCCTGCTCCCGGGGGCCCGAAAATCTCCGTGACATGACCACACGGTAGGCCCTTGCTCTGCAGATCCCCGAAGCCTTGGAGATCGTCTTCGATGGGCGGGGTGACTGCTTCATCGAGCTGGGGAAGACCCGTTGAGACGGTCTTGTTGCCTAAGGCAGCCGACGCGGTGGACGCGTGAAGGGACTGCGAGGCCGGGAAGGAGATGACTCGATCTAGGGGTGTTGGCTGGTTATCTTCTATCTGATTGGAGATTCAGGTAGCGATATCACTCACTGGGGTCCTGACTGGGAAGGCCCAGAAAGTCGAGTCGATTCATGATGAATGGATAGATGAGATGGATTGATGAAGTCAAGGGTCACGCGTCGCGCGCGCGTCTCGGCTTGTTCACATCCAGCGGGATATGAGGATCTTCTGATTATGGACTGGACTGAGGATGTGATGTCATGGTTGAGCCATCACTTGAGCATCGTAAGGAGGTTCTAGACAGTTGCCTTTTAAGTGGACAGTTGACAGTGCTCCGAAGACCTGCCGTAGTCCACGTCCAGTTGGCAGTCCATCGGCATTGAAGATGTTCTGGAAGCTCGGGAACGAGCCGAGATCCGATCTCGCCCCGATCTGATAAAAAAGATCAAAATCGGCCCCGCGGAGGAGGGAGCTGCACCTTTTCAATCACCTCGATAACCTGACTATAATTGCAGCATACCTCAATTATCTTTCAGTCTGAGACTGCATAACTATATACCTGAATCCCTATCTACCCGATTCCACCCTCCTCACAATCCACACAGAGCACTCAAATCCACCACCATCAATGCATGACTCAAACCTCACCACCCTCAATGCATTATACAATGGCGCACCCTCACTCCGACCCCTCCTCCCCTACATCATCTCCATCATCTTCCTCCTCTTCCCACTAACAACCTACCTCCGCTCATCCCTCCCAAACCCCCGAGGCTGCCGCCGCCTCGGCACCAGAAAGAGCAACATCGCCGACGAATACGACCCCCAATACAGCGAGGGCACCCCCAGCGACGCCATCGACCCCCAGACCGGTCTCCCAGCATGGCGCATCAAAGCCCTGTTCATCTACCCGATCAAAAGCTGCAGAGGGATCGAGCTCGACACGGCGGAGGTGATCGACACCGGCCTAAAGTACGACCGACTCTTCTGCTTTGCCGAGTACATCGAGGCGAAGCCGCCTGCACCAACCCCAGCACCCACCACCTCATCGCCCACTGGCAATGCCCAGGATAGCCCAAAAGGGGAAAGCGGACACTGGACCGCGCGCACCCTGCGCGACCGCCACTTCTGCAACCTGGCCCTCGTGCGGCCGGAGCTCTGGGTCCCGGATCCCACCAGCCCGGACTACTCGGCGTCCCTCCCCGAGGTGCAATCCGAGGGCGTGCTGATCATCCACTACCCGCGCACGCTGCCCGCCCGCCTCGCCCGCCTGCCCCTCCTCCCAGCTCTGTTCCAGCTAGCCCTCACGCTGCGCCTGTGGCCCCGCGAGCAGTCCTTCCGCGTTCCGCTGGCCCCTTGCCCTAGCCCTACCCCAAGCCCCAGCAGCCACCCCAACCCCAATGCGAAGACAGCCCGGAAAAACAACAACTACCCCCTCCACCCCCTCAAGATCTGGAAAGACACGCCGCTCGCCCACGACTACGGCCAGCACCTCCCACCCTCCCTGCGCCGCTTCCTGGCCGACCCCAACACCACAGCCCAAAAACCCCTCACGCTCTTCCGCGAATCCGCCGCCCACCACCGCCAGATCTTCCGGAACGCGCCCCCCAAGGACCAGCTGGGCTTCCAGACCGTCACCGGCTTCCAGGACGCGTACCCGCTCCACCTCCTCAACCTGGCCAGCGTCCGCGATGTGGCTGCGCGCTGTCAGGCCGAGATCCCCCGGCTGACGGTGCGGCGGTTCCGCGCGAATGTGGTCGTGCAGGGGCCGGGGCGGTTTGAGGAGGATGCGTGGCGGAGGGTGAGGGTTGGTTCTCAGGAAGGAGGGGGAGGTGATGGGGTGGAGATCCATCTGGCGTGTCGGACGATGCGGTGTCGGTTGCCGAATGTCGATCCGGACACGGGCGTGCGCCATCGCGCGGAGCCGGATCGCACGCTGAAGGCGTATCGGCGGATCGATCGGGGGGATCCCACGAATGCGTGTCTGGGGATGCAGTTGGTTCCTGCGGTTCGGAGTGAGTGTTTCCCCCCAACTTCTTTTGTTGATGATCTGGGATAATGGTGGTGGGGGGGTGTGAGACTAGAATTGTTACTGTGCGGGCTAACTGATTGTCTAGATTTCACACTTCGCGTCAATGATCCGATCACGGTCCTCGAGACTGGTGAGCATTGCTATATCAAGATGTTGGCGCCTGGTGAGGTGGTTGAAGGGGTCTGATCGATTTCTGTGCAACATTCCGGTGCCGAAACGCTATATAGAATATTTATATCATCATTGCATTAATTTAATCCCGTATAATCCAAACTATCGCTCTCAAGGGTATCCCAATCCATCAATCTGCCCTCGCAAGGGTCGTAGTCAAACTAAAGAAAACAAAGCAAATACAAAGTTATACAGCTGAAACTCCAGACGGGTGCTCCCCCTTCGTGTATTGAGCATTTTCAGGCTCGTCCGGCTGTTCAACCGCCCGAGGTTCTGCTCGAGCCTCGACAACAGCCGCCCCCTCATCCGCTTCTTCGGGAATGATCAGGTTCAAAATCACCCCCAGAATGGCGGTGATGGCGAACCCGTTGTTCATCACCAAGTCAATCGCATCCAGCAGACCCGTCAGGCCGCGGTTGTTGCCGCTGTAGGTGAAGAAGTAGGAGAACCAGGTAGGCACCAGGGTGACACCCATGCCGATGGAAAAGGAGGCCGTCAGGACAAACCGGTTGCGCCGCGTGAACGGCACAGTCGCAATAATGCGGACTCCAGAAATGGCCACGGAGGAGAAGAGGAACGTGGTCATCCCACCAAGCACCGCGCTGGGGATGGAGGTGAGGGCGGCAGCAAACTTCGCAAAGATGCCCATGATGACCAAGAAGAAACAGCAGCAGTAGCCAGCCTTGCGGTTGGCGCACTTGGTCAAGGCAATGACACCGTTGTTCTGAGCAAACACAGACATGGGGGTGATCGTGCACAGTCCGGCCAGCAGACAGGTGAATCCGTTACCCAGAACACCACCCTGGACGCGAGAGTCAAACTCCGGACCCTCCACCTCTACCTGTGATACATCACAGGTGGCGGTGATATCGCCGATCGACTCCATCATGACCACGATGTACACGGCCAGCAGGGGTAGGATCAGAGGTGCGTAGATGGTCAGAGGGAAGGTGCGGACCCAGATGAACGAGGCCACCGGGGCAGCATCGATGCTCGACCGGTCGAAGTATCCGCAAGCGGCAGCAATGATGCATCCAACGAGCAGGCCGATGATCACAGCGCAGGACTTCATCATTGGAGCGCCAAATCGTTCGCACAGGATAATCGTCACAAAGACCGAAAAGCCAAGTCCAATGAACTCGGGGCTGCCCCAGGGGAGAGCGTGTGGCGAGTCGGCACTAGGGCACAGTGCACGGCTGGCTGCATCCGTAAAACAGGTTCCCGAGCCACCAGCCCAGTCCTCCATACTCGACTGAATCAGACTGGCTCCAATCAACAAAATCGTGGGGCCGGTCACCAATGGCGGGAAAATGCGTTTCAGAATCCGAGGGCTCATGAACGACAAACCAATTTCGAGCAAGGAGCACAGACACGACGTGCCCAGCAGAGCCCCATAGCCCTTCGGACAAGGCAGGCGGTTCCCATCGCTATCCACCGGGCAGTATCCCGACGTGTACATTTGGTTGAACGTTCCGGACGATACGGTGATGGTAGCGAACGAGGTACCAACAACTGAGATCAACCCCGTTCCGACATAGAAGCGAGTTTTGTAGACGTGGAATCGGGCCATCTGTACTGCAGACAATAGGCCGGAAACGATAAGGGAAGTTGAAACCAGGTATTCGTAGTCTTTCGTGCCGAAGTTGGCACCACTCGTGCCACCGATCAGGATAGGGGGCGAGATGACTATTGAAGTCAGCAACGGGTTGTAATTCCAGGAACCTGTCCAACGAACCTCCACCCAGCATTGCCAGCGCATGTTGTAAACCCAAGAGGAGGGCCAGAAGAACGGGGACTTTGTCCTCCAGTCCGAAGAAGGGAGCGGACTTGCGGCCCCTGTTGATGAAAGGAAGGTTGGGGGTGAAAAGGTATGCATAATCGTAGTCACCGACCAGTCCCTCTCTACAAGATACTTGTTAGTATGGAGGAACGGCTCTATCATGACTCGACCAAGCACACATACCTGGTAGTGAATGTCTTGACCATGCGCCGGGTCTTCTCCCGCCAGGACCGTTTAGGTCGCAAGTCGGGACCGATCTGATCAGGTCCGTCCATGCTGAGTGATACTTGGGAGATGGATACAAAGGTAGGTGGAGACGGGGGTAGTAGATTGAACGGTATATAGAATTGCCGAATCGGATTGTGATCTAGACAAGCTCTCAACTCGTGGAATGGATCTGGGGATTCTAGCTTGAGATCACCCCAGAATTGTTCGAAACATTTGATGTCTATATAGATGGTAGTTTCATTACCGGCTTCCGAAGGAAATTCGTGTGATCTCAGCGATCGGGTGCAAAGGATGATAGGAGACTATCGGTGGCGTGGAGGTGCGTGAATCAATCGAATAATGCCTTGGACTGGTTATCTCTAGGCTCTCCACGACTGGGAGGCGACCGACTGGAGACTGGGGAGATACCCAAGCGAGAGCACTAGACTGGACTAGAGAGACTAGAGGAGGAGCAGGTCGAGTCTTGGGTGGTCATGGTGGGGTCCCGCGCGATAAGACTCAAGCTCGCTGACTGTCGATTCATGTAACGCCTCTCGCCGGCTTATCAGTTCTTCCCCCAGATCGGGATCCGCCGACGTCCATCTTCGGTGGCGGAGCTTCGTGGATGGTTATCTGGCTGTATAGATCGGGATGAGTGCGAACACCAGTTCTCTGTCTCCCATGCGGTCGAACCGTCTGGGGTTGAGCTGTTTCTTTTATGATAGAGATGAGATATGTAGACGAAGTACGGGGAATTTGTATGGAGTACAGCCCACGATGGATTGAGCATGGGTCGAACAGTCCGGGGAAGAACCAGAACCGATCGGGCAATGCATTAGTCACGGAAATTGGCTATTCGAGGACACGGCAGCGGGTAATTGTCAGTCCGGATTCCGTCAACTGGTGTCAACTGGTGCAGTGTCAACTGGTGCCAACTTTATCACAACCACGCTGACTCCGGCTTTTGACTAATTCATCTACTACTTTAGTGAGTTGAATAAGTTAACAGTCATTCCAATTCTTGACTGCATCTCGTCCGTTGCACAGAATGAGCATGGTGGTACAACTACCAGCCAAGTGAGGTACCAGTCGCCCGCCAACGACTTGTCCTACCTGCCTGCCAACTGGGTCATGGTGGCATGGAGTCTGAGGAATCAAACCTGACCATAAATTATGCACTGGATAGTGTTAAGTGACGCGAAGCAATAGCTTAGCTGTGACATCGACGGCAAATTCCAGAAATCTTGGGTAGGTTTAGGTAAGCAGCTGACTCAAGCATATGGAGAGTCCTTGCCTACTCCGTACCTTGCCATGATGAGGATATCCTACCGTAGGTATATTTGTGCTCGTGCACCTTGACATCAAGTGACCGCTTCGATCTCTGCACCTCCGCGCTTCTGCCTGAGGCAGGGGTGGGACGAGGTGGGCACCATTGGAATGTCGGGGGTACGAGACTAGTCCAAGTTCTGTCGATGACTCGATGCGCAACATCTGTGCTCCCAATCCCTTAGTTACATGAGACATACTCAGAAAGAGGCCTCCACCTGGAGTACCGAGGAGGCCACTGCAGCAGGTAAGAGCTTGGATAACCAGTCTACACTGGTTGCGATGTTTCAAACTATGGAGGTTCACATGGTCATCACGTGTAGACACGAAGCTTTGGGATGTTGTCTACCGAGCCTGAGCTGGTCATGTTGGGACTGTGGGAGGCATTTTGATTCTGCCTGAATCATATGGCGACGATCAGCTACGAGGTTGACCCGAGGTGCAAGCTAGCCTGGACCATCATTGACTTCCCGCAGTGGCAAATTGAACGAAAATTCGTGGTTGCCGCCCATAGGGCTGCATCAGCTGCTTTCCTGGGAATTCCAGAACTACTCCTCGCCCGGCCCAAAACACATTGCATTGGCCTTGATTTACCGAATTCACTCAAGTGCTAATGACCCCGGAGTTGCTCCCTCCGTCAGCCCACCTACTGAGTACAGTCAGAGATTGATAACGAATCAGCCAGGGAGCTGGTGTGCAGCAGCGGAGAAAAGAGCCACTGGATGGCAAATGGACGGGGCCTTGCCAGTTGCCACACACTAGCCACGGAGGGAGGCGGTGATCAGCCACAGCCGCCTGCCAGGGCCGAATTGGAAAACGTTGGGGATTCAACAGATGTTACTGGGCTGCTGATTGGCTGGACGTAGCCGGGATTGCCGAAATGGGCAGAGGCTGGCCGGGGCTGGTCTGTCGAATCACGTCTCGCCCAACAAGCTTACTCGAGTCCAGATGGTGGAAGAACGGGTGTTTTGTATGGTTCATGGTTGGAACTCTCCCTCCCGAACCTGAAGCTGTACTTTTCTGTACACTCACCAGTCTATGAGTACCTATTATTATTCTTTCATACCCCGTTCCCTCCTAGAAGCACCGTGTGTGTGTGTTGCATTCGTCTTCAAACAAGTACCTCGGGATCTCCCCGGCCACAGTCATCCAGCAGTCAGACCACTCACCAGTCACCACTGACTGACCTGTGATCAAATCACTTTCCGGATTCTCTCATTGCCGCATCATCCATCTTCGCCGCCAACCTTGCGTTTCCCCAACCATCATCCCGCCCAGTGGACCCTGGGTCGAGTTCAACTCCGTCCGATTTTTCTCCCCTCCCCTCCCCTCTGGGATTTGTTAAGATCCTTCATTCCTTTGCTGACTCCTCTCTTGCCTTCTGGATTATATTCCCCACCCTCTCCTTGCCTTGCCTCATTCTTTTTTCTTCCCTTCTTTTATTCTTTGGGTCTCTTCTTCAATTCTTCCCTTTCTTAAAACCTCCCTCCCCCGGAGCCTCCCATCCGCTTCGACCACTTCGTCTTTCCACCACCCTCCACATACTCACCTTGTAGAGGGTAGACGAGTGACCACGCACCATCCAAAATGTCTGCAAAGCCAGCGGACGCTTCCCGGTCTCGTGCCGCGGACCCTAAGAAAGTTCACATTGCCGACACTGCGATCAACCGCCAGAACTGGTACAAGCATGTTAACTGGCTGAACGTCTTCCTCATCATCGGCATCCCCCTGGCTGGCTGTATCCAGGCTTTCTGGACGCCTCTTCAGCTGAAGACCGCCATCTGGGCCGTCATCTATTACTTCTTCACCGGTCTGGGCATCACTGCAGGTTCGTACTTCTCCCGATTTGCTTCGCCAGGGGCAAGATGCTAACGGTAGCTCGACATAGGATACCATCGTCTGTGGGCTCACTGCTCCTACTCCGCTCGTCTTCCTCTCCGTATCTGGCTCGCTGCCGTCGGCGGTGGTGCCGTTGAAGGTTCCATCCGCTGGTGGGCTCGTGACCACCGTGCTCACCACCGTTATACCGACACCGACAAGGACCCCTATTCCGTTCGCAAGGGTCTGCTCTACTCTCACCTTGGATGGATGGTGATGAAGCAGAACCCCAAGCGTATCGGCCGTACCGATATCTCCGACCTGAACGAAGACCCCGTCGTCGTCTGGCAGCACCGCAACTACCTCAAGGTCGTTTTCGGTATGGGCTTGGCTGTTCCCATGCTCGTTGCCGGTCTTGGCTGGGGTGACTGGATGGGCGGCTTCGTGTACGCCGGTATCCTGCGTATCTTCTTCGTCCAGCAGGCCACTTTCTGTGTCAACTCGCTTGCCCACTGGCTCGGTGACCAGCCCTTCGACGACCGCAACTCTCCTCGTGACCACATCATCACTGCTTTGGTCACCCTGGGTGAGGGTTACCACAACTTCCACCACGAGTTCCCCTCCGACTACCGCAACGCGATTGAGTGGCACCAGTACGACCCTACCAAGTGGAGCATCTGGATCTGGAAGCAGCTTGGTCTCGCCTACGACCTCAAGCAGTTCCGCGCCAACGAAATCGAGAAGGGCCGTGTCCAGCAGCTCCAGAAGAAGATCGACCAGAAGCGCGCCAGACTCGACTGGGGTACTCCCCTCGACCAGCTTCCCGTCATGGAGTGGGATGACTATGTTGAGCAGGCCAAGAATGGCCGTGGCCTCGTCGCCATCGCCGGTGTTGTTCACGACGTGACCGACTTCATCAAGGACCACCCCGGTGGCAAGGCTATGATCAACTCCGGTCTCGGCAAGGACGCCACTGCCATGTTCAACGGTGGCATCTACTACCACTCCAACGCCGCCCACAACCTGCTCTCTACCATGCGGGTGGGTGTCATTCGTGGTGGTTGCGAGGTTGAGATCTGGAAGCGTGCTCAGAAGGAGGGCGTCGAGTATGTCCGCGATGGCTCCGGCCAGCGGGTCATTCGTGCTGGCGAGCAGGTGACCAAGATCCCTGAGCCTATCCCCACCGCCGATGCGGCATGAAAAGACTCGTTCATGACTACTACTTATCATGAATGTACAATTTGCGTCCTGTTTCTGCCTCTGGCGATGTCTCCTGTTTTATAACTTAGCACACAGGGCGTTTGATGATATTCCGAGTGTTGGGAGTTTCCGGAGTTGGCCTTGATTTGTTTTCCTTTTTTTTTCTCTTATAAACCCCTGCAGACAGAGCGTGTCTGGTTTGATGAGTGGCTTGCGCATTTCAAAAGCGACCTGATATGATCGAAACTCCACAATGCTTGTTAAGAATAGAGCAATGAAGATATCCACATCAAAGTCTGGTTCTTGTAGGCTTAGCTTGTTCGTAGGGTGCGGGGTTTCTTGTAGCGGGTGCATGCAGGGTTTTCCATGGCTGTTTGTCAGCTTGCTTGTGCAGTAGAGCAGCAGGTATAACAGTGAGGATTAGTGGAATTGTGGAGTGGTGAGTGAGAATTGGTGAAACTTGGTGAAACTTGGTGAAACTTGAAGGGAACTGAAGGGTACTGAGTGTGGGTTATGGACTGACAGACTGTGGAGAAAAAGAGAGGTTGTGTGGGTTTTTGTTGTGGTGCGGTCACTGCAGCTCAGTGGGATCCACCTGACCTGACCTGAACTGACCAACCTCCGCTAACTCAGTTGAGCTCGAGGTTCAACTGGCAACAACAGCTTGCCTCACCCACCACCAACTCTCATTGTCTTGCATCACAACTGCATAGCCACGTATTGTTCCCCGCTCCCTCCCTCCCCCTCCAACCTAACCCATTCGCCCATCTTCCACCATCCTCACCATTGCTACCCCTCAATTCCGCCGTACCTTTTATCTACCCGCCCTCCTCGTCCTTCTCCTGGGCGTTTTCCTCGTCACCGTGGCTCCTCCGCTTCGCATTTCCACCCCCACCTTTCGACTCACTTCAGTCCTGAGCCATCTCCGTGGCTCTCGACTGCCAACCACTCTCCACCCAGGGTTGACGAATCTTCGCAAATCTCTCACTACCGCCAGCATGGCCCCCGAGCACCTCCGCCGACCTCCTCAGGCTCCTCCCGTCTTCACGGCCACCGCCCAGTCCATCCTCGACGACGCCAATCGGCTCATTGCCAGCTCCCGCAAGATCCAGGACGATGTCGTCGCCACCGTCAAGCCCGAGTCGGCCACCTTCGACGCCGTCGTGAAGCGCCTGGCCCACGATGAGAACGCCATGGCGCTGGAATCCCACATCCTCAGCTTCTACCAGGCGGTGTCGACCGAGCAGGAGCTGCGGGACGCCTCGTCCAAGGCCGAAGCGCTGATGGACGAGTTCTTCATCGAGGCCGTCATGCGTGAGGACGTCTTCACGCTCGTCGACGCCGTGCTGAAGAAGGACGAGTCGCTCGACCCGGAGTCCCGCCGACTGCTGGAGAAGGAGCACAAGAACTACATCCGCAACGGCCTGGGTCTGCCGGCCGGCCCGCAGCGAGACCGCTTCAAGGAGATCAAGAAGCGGCTCAGTCAGATCAGCATCGAGTTCCAGAAGAACCTCAACGAGGAGAGCGGGGGCATCTGGTTCACCCCGGAGCAGCTGGACGGGGTCCCCGAGGATGTCCTGTCGGGCTTGAAGAAGGGCGAGGGCGAGCACGAGGGCAAGCTGTGGCTGACCTTCAAGTACCCGGACCTCTTCCCCACCATGAAGTACGCCAAGAACGCGGAAACCCGCAAGCAGGTTACCATCGAGAACGAGAACAAGTGCAACCAGAACGTGCCACTCTTCCAGGAGGCCATCATCCTGCGGGACGAGGCGGCCCGGCTGCTCGGGTACCCCAACCACGCCGCCTTCCGCATCGAGGACAAGATGGCCAAGACGCCCAAGACCGTGAACGACTTCCTCGGCGACCTGCGCTCCCGCTTGACGGCCGGGGGGCAGAAGGAGCTCAAGACCCTGCTGGAGCTGAAGAAGAAGGACGTCGAGTCCCGTGGTGAGCAGTTCGACGGCCACTACTACCTGTGGGATAACCGCTTCTACGACCGTCTCCTGCTGGAGCAGGAGTACTCGCTCGACCAGCAGCTCATTGCGGAGTACTTCCCCCTGCAGACCACCATCGAGGGCATGCTCAAGATCTTCGAGGAGCTTTTCGGCCTCGTGTTCGTGGAGATCACGGGCGAGGACCGCGAGAAGGTGGCTCCCTCGGGCAAGGGCAGCGACATTGTCTGGCACGAGGATGTCCAGATCTTTAGTGTGTGGAACGACGAATCCGAGGGCAGCGGGTTCGTGGGCTACCTCTACCTGGACCTGTTCCCCCGGACCGGAAAGTACGGCCACGCCGCCAACTTCAACCTCCAGCCGGTATTTTCTGTCCTTCTGCGTCATCCAAATAACCTCCACTAACCAATCTGCCAGGGCTTCATCGACGCCGACGGCAACCGCCGCTACCCGGCGACCGCGCTGGTGTGCAACTTCACCAAGCCGACCCCCAAGAAGCCGAGTCTGCTGAAGCACGACGAGGTCGTGACGCTCTTCCACGAGCTGGGCCACGGCATCCACGACCTCGTGTCCAAAACCATCTACTCGCGCTTCCACGGCACGAGCACCGTGCGCGACTTCGTCGAGGCCCCCAGCCAGATGCTGGAGAACTGGTGCTGGACGCCCTCGCAGCTGAAGTCCCTGAGCCGGCACTACTCGACCCTGTCGCCCGAGTACCTGGCCGCGTGGAAGGAGCAGGCCGCGGGCCAGACCCCGCCCGCCGAGAACATCCCGGACGAGGTCATCGCCAACCTCATCCGCACCAAGCACGTCAACGACGCCCTCTTCAACCTGCGCCAGCTGCACTTCGGCATCTTCGACATGACCGTCCACCAGCCCGAGAGCCACGAGCACATCAAGCAGCTGCCCATCTCCGCCACCTACAACCGCCTGCGCCACGAGATCACCCAGATCGAGGGGCCCGAGAGTCTGGGGCTCGGCGAGGAATGGGGCCACGGCGAGGCCACGTTCGGCCATTTGATCGGCGGCTATGATGCCGGGTACTATGGGTATCTGAGGTAAGTCCCCGCTCTCCTGTTCCTTTTCTTTCGGCCGGCCATGCTAACTCCCCAATCCCAGCTCGCAAGTCTACTCCACCGACATGTTCTACACCGTCTTCAAGGAGAACCCCATGAACCCCGAGGCCGGCCGTCGCTACCGCTTCAAGGTCCTCGAGAAGGGCGGCAGTCAGGACGAGATGTCCATCTTGACCGACTTCCTGGGCCGCGCCCCCAAGACTGATGCCTTCTATAAGGACATGGGGTTGGCTTGAGCTCTCGGGGTGCTGAGTTGATGATAATGAGTGGAATGAAAGAAGTCAAGTTCAAGTTTACAAATATACCAGTGGAAATCACATGGCCGATGTCTCTTGATTGGATGCATTATGGATGTATACGTAGCTGCAGTGGTTCTGTCTATTGGAATAATACTAGTAGTAGGTGTAGACGTCGCTTTAGGTCAAGTGCAGGCCTGAATAACCCCTACGAATCATGTGGCAGTTTTGGAGACCTTGCCTTGGGCTGGAGCGAGCAGTTTCAAGAGGGAAAGAGTATTACCCTTGATACGTTCTCATCGAAGCATGTAAGGAGGCCCGCGGGACTTGCCAAACATTGGCAGTCAGCCAAATCGGTTTCCTGGTGGGATTGAACAGCGTAGCGCTGCAGTACGCATACAGGAACAATGGCCTGACCTGGCCTGGCACTGCTAAGTTACCACCTGGCAGGGGCACCCGGTAAAGCTCGGTCTTAAACCCACCCCGATTGCTGGTCATCAACACCCGTGCTTAAATCCGACTGACTGTCTGCACTAAGTCCACGGTATAGATCCGGCTTGCTCTTTGAGCAAGGACCATATAGACTGCATAAATCCCCTAACCGCAATTAAGCACGTCCTCATCTCGCCACGGACAGCATCCACCAACCCCACCCAACCTCAACTTCATCCATAGAATCCCAAGCTCACCACGATGCCACCGACACCGTATACATCCCAAACCACCGTCGAAGAGGCCTGCACTGCGCTCGCGGAGCATATCTGCGGGAAAAGAGGTGGGTTCGGTTTGCTTGCTCGTTCTGCATCCTTTTGCCCTTCGGTTTCGCTCGCTTCATACCTTGTGCTGAGTTCACGCTGGACTAACGAAATGCACCGCACACAGTCCTCATAACCGGGCCCACGCCCACCTCCATCGGCGGCGCGACAGCCCTCGCTCTCGCCATGCTGCCGGCCACGCACCACCCCTCCCTCCTTTTCCTGGCTGGCAGGACCCCTGCCACATTGGAGACAATCACCGCAAGCATCGCCGAGAGAGCACCCTCCCTCCGGGTCAGACCTGTGGTCCTGGATCTTGCGAGCCAGAAGAGTGTGCGTCGCGCGGCTGAGGAGGTCCTGGCAGACACTGGTGGCGTGGATGTCATCATCAATAATGCGGGGGTGATGGCCTGTCCGTATGCCACGACGGAGGAAGGGGTGGAGTTGCAGTTCGGGACGAATCATGTGGGGCATTTATTGCTCACGAATCTGCTGATTCGGGAGATGCTGGAGCGGAACGGTAACAGGGGGAAGGATGGGGAGGTGGTTAGGGTGGTTAATGTGAGTAGTGCGGGGCATAAGAGGGGGGAGGTGAGGTTTGGGGATGTTGGGTTTGAGGTACTGTCGTCTTCCTTCTTTCTCTGATTTGGTTCGGGGAGGGTGGATGCTAATGCTGGATGGTTAGGATGGAAGCGTTTACGACAAGTGGCAGGCTTATGGGCAGAGTAAGACGGCGAATATGCTGTTCTCCGTGGCTCTGGCGGGGAAACTCGGAGGTCGTGGGGTGATTTCGGTTAGTCTCTACCCTGGTAGGGTTCTGTCGGGCATTGCGAGGCATTTGGTGTTGGAGGAATTTGTGAAGGCTGGTAAGTAAGCTTTCGTCTTCTTGGTCCGACGCGATGAACTGACGGAATTTTGACAGGATGGAAGACCGAGGATGGAAAGGTCGTTGATGACACGAAGTTGAATTGGAGATCATTGAGCCAGGCAGCCGCGACGTTGATTGTGGCCGGGTTTGAGCCGAGTATTGCTGGTGAGTTTTTTCCCATTGGGTATGGGCTGGTGCTGACATTTAACAGAGAGCAATGGGTCGTACCTGGTCAATAACCAGATTGCTGATGACCAGGCTGCTGCGTATGCTCTAAGTCGAGACAACGCGGAGAAGCTGTGGGCTCTCACGGAGGAACTGGTCGGGGAGAAGTTCGACCTTTGAGCTGTAAATTTGATCTCAATGTGCCGATCAAGCAAGTCTGTTGTTTGCCACTGTCATGTTTGCTCGATCTTACCGGACTGAGCATATCTGCCGTGCAGCTAAAGAGGTTGCTGCGGCCAGAATAGCAGTCCCCAGCCCCAGGCCCGCACATCCGGCGTGGCACTGGTTGATACGAGTAGTAAAGTAGTGGCACAGATTCTCAGCCTTCTTCAGCCGCTGTGGCAAGGTGGTCGATGCTTCAAACTGCCCGGATCGCTTGAGCGTCTGGAAAATCTCGGTTAGGGACGCATAGACGGCTACCATACCAAGCCAATACAGCAGCACAAGCGGTATGATCGAAGGATTTGAGAACGCCAATATATCTCCAGATGCAGAAGCTCTTGCCGCCACGACTGATGCTCGAGACACATACGGTGGGCCTTCGTTCTCCAACTCCAGCCCTCGGTACTAATCGAGCATTTGTCCTTCGTGGAACAATGCATTTCGCATCAGACGGTCAGCAGAGTACCGGTCGATCCCCCCCGATAGTGTTTTCCGTCGCACAGCCGATAACGTTTGTATAATCTGAAACAGTATATCCAAAAGCTGGTCACAGACGTCTGATGAGGCCACCGTAAGCGGGTCAAGACTTGGGGCTGGCGTAATTTGTCCGTTGATGCAGATGCGGAGGAACTAAGCAATGCAGTCATCAGTAGGGTCCCATGCCAGAAGACAAAAAGCAGAGATATACATCGACGGTACGGAGCCGTCGCACGTCCTGTTTGCTGAGCACCGTCGTGGGTGATTCCAGCTGCCGTACAATATTACAGGCCGCTTGCACATGTACCTGCCATGCACCACTGTTCTGCGCTGGCGGGTAAGTGTACGACTCGTATAGGGCCAGGATCATGCCACTGCGGATGAGGTCAGTGGGCTGGTTGAGCTCGTTGAGGGCGCATATTTGCTGCACCGCAAGCTCGTACTGCTGCCGACTCCGCTGGGTGAGTGTATCGTCATGTCGGCTGTTGGCGACATGAGTTAGGGTTAAAGCAGCTAGCGACCTGTGAACGATGGGCGACTGGGCCTCCAAGAAAGAAGAAAAGGTCTCGGCCCAGTTAACGGGTGATTGATAAGTGACTGCATTCGGGGTCTTCGGGGGAGGTAGTCGTCGAGGAAGTGAGCGATCAGCTGTACTTGATCCTGGTAAATGACCAATGATTGCTGACTGCACTCGAAGGCAGGATGTGCAGGATGTGCAGGATGTGCAGGATGTGCAGGATGTGCAGGATGTGCAGGGTGTGCAGGGTGTGTAGTATGTGTTCTGTGACCTATCGTAGCACTGCTGCTGCTGCTGCATGACATTACCCTCATTATTAACAGGCATTGTGTGACAAGCAGGATATCCCTTACATCCGTGAGTATCCTCCACAAGTCAACTTCGAAGATTGGCACCGAGTGCATTTGGGTCGGGTCTTGTCACACTGGACCGGAGTGGGCCTTTGGTTAGAATCCGGGGTAACAGCCGAGAAGTGGAGCAGTGTAGACTCACTCACCTTGACCTTTCTTGCCAGACACGTCCGACAGCTTTGAGCACGCCAGGAGCTTCTACCCATCCTAGCTCAATGTCTTATCTTGGTCACAATTAGGCCAGTAGAGTCATCACTCTCAGAGGTAATACCTTCTCGAAGTGAAGGTGGAGAGGAGCAGAGAAGTGGTTTCCGACTAGTACGCAATGCCGGAGCGGAAGAATATCGCCCCGGGTTTGTATACTTCATTTCAGCACCCATAGATGATGCATTGTTACTGTGACGGCCTAGAATTACAAAACAGAAGCAGCAAGCATGTCTTCTTGATGAGAACATATGGAGCCTTCTTGCATAAGAAACTCCCAACTGTTGAGGACGATAAATCGAACTGATTGCCATCTGTAATGGCCCCAAAACAACCTGCATTTCCCTCCTGCTTCCAGGCTCCTTTTGCCTGTTCAACGCGCGGCTTGAGACTCCTGCATATGGAAATCCTAGCCCACGAATCCCTGGGCGTGCTGCCTTGACTTTTTCACAATAATCTATACATTAGAAATAAAATCACTAGATGGCTTTGATACTCAGAGATCCTTGGGTCGAAATTTCCTCCAAAAGAAAAAAAAAAATGAAAGAAGAAAGCTAACTACTCCAGGAGGGGCTGACCCGCCTCCTCCGCCTCCTTACAAATGCTACGGATCCCCTCATAGAGTCTCTTAACTTTATCGCGCCCCTCTCCGGCTGCCTTCTTAGCGACCTCGACCCGCTCGTCTGCGGCTCTGGCCGTATCGACGGCACGATCGACTTGCTCTCGAAGAAGCTTGTAAGCCCCCTTAGCAACTTCAAGGCGCTCCCTCAGCTCATTCATATGGGACTCCTGACCCTGGGTCAGCCTGCGCTTTTTGTACACAGGGGCCTCTTCGTCTTCCTCGAAGAGATCTTCGGGCACTTCATGACCCAGGGCCAGGAGATCCACCGCACAATCAATGAAAGCCTGTGTAAATAGGCTGTTCATAGTGAGCAATATGCTCTCGGCATAATAGCCGTATGCGGTAGAAAATGGTCTTCGGACTCGCCAATATTTCACACCATGCGCAAGCGCGAGCTGCATTTGGTGAAGATAACGCCGGCAAGAAAGAAAAAAGCAAAAGGCTTCCAACGAAAAAAGCTGAGCATCGAACTGAGGCTTCAAAATCCAAATAGTAATGGACTTGCGGTTTGCTCTGGATAGAGGACTCGGGGCACGTAGAGTGGCCAATTTGTAATAAATTGGCATAGAAACGGTATTGGTATGCAATTCTGTGTCTTTGCTTCCACATGCTCTCGGTGGAACAGCGGCTGAGCTGGGTGTCGAACGGCTGGAATCGACGTGGAAAGGAAGTGCTGGCATTTTCAATGATGGTGTGGTGATGAAGGTGATGATGAAGGTGGTGCTGGTATCCATAGAGGGATGCATCAGCAATGCTGATGTACTGCATCCGCATTGAAGCTTTTCGCACAATCTTGCTCAGGATGGCTCCGCACTGGAAGCTGCCATCGATTCGTAAGATTCTCTGAGTTGAGAATCTATAAACTGCTTTGATGCAGTCTTCGTAATTGCCGCAGCAAATAATATCTCAGTCGCGAGATTTCGATTTGCCTTTCTGGTGGCACGGCACGTCTTGGGACGGCATTTCTAATCTGATGTTTCTGATGTTTCTGCGGTCAATGTTAGTCAGAGACACTTTGCTCGTCGAATCTCGCCGTTCTCAACTTTGCTTGAGTAACAGGATAGCCAGTTTCAGGTGGGTCTTGACTTACAGAAATGTGATTGCCAGCGCTTTTCTCTCTTGGCAGAGATAGCTTTCCAAAAGAGTATATGGTATAAAGAGAGGAAGAATTAGATAAAGCGAAAGACTGGAACTGGAAGAAGGGGATGTTTGGTATGTGAGTGGGAGTGGGAGTGGACAGGAAGAAGAGGAAGAGGAAGAGGAAGAGGAAGAGGAAGAGGAAGGAGAAGAACCCATAGCCATCAACCAGGCCCATTGTGGTCAATGAATCCAAAAATCTAAACCAAGATTGAATGAGACCTGCGACATGGTCATTGAATGATCGAAGTAGCTAGTCTTTGCAGACAGCAGCCCTGGAATACCTTGAGCCATTGAATGTGCTACGCATGGCGAATTGATTCGCTGGCTCCTTGTCCGCAATTGACTCCAGAAGGTATCAGTCTTGGTGAAATGGACATTGTAGATTGAGCCGCCGGTAGGCTCATGAGATTGTCCGCTTGGTAGTAATGCATCAAGGCATATCCTAGCTTTTAGTCTCTTTGAATGAGAAGCTGTCCCTAGCCGCATGCTAGATCCCAGTTTCCCATGAAGGGGCGTATGCTCAGCCCTTGTGATAGGTAGACATCAGCAGTGGCCGTATAAGATGGCATAATCCGGTTGATGAGGATTTCATGCAATGAGTATAGTGGTTGGACGGGGTGATACATCAATTACCACGAGTGTATCCTGGAGCTTAGAAGTAGCATTTTCACCGAGCAGGCAGACAGGAGGCATATCATAGATTATTCGGATTCCCATATCTATAGTACGGCCTTCCAGTCAAGATGATATATCTTGGCTATGCTGTAGCAGCATAAATATCAAATTTTAGAGTTGTGTGAGGATCTGTTTCGATGATATGCATAGACCCAGCGGGAGACTGCACACATTCCAGGAATCTTGATCGTAGCGATAAAGGCATAAGCTGTTGAAATACGCCTGATGGGTCTGAGGCTTCACAGCGATGTTGCACGTTCAGCAGCAGGAGTCTTGGATTTGCGGCAGGCAGTCTCCCTCGGCATGGACTGTTTGCCGTCGTTGATGGATTGTGGACTCAAAGTCGAAGCTCGAGTTCGACAATCGGGAGAAACGAGAGAGTTGAGCATAAGAAGCGGGGTGAAGAGGTTTCTGACGATGAGGACTTTCAAATGCGTTTGAAAGGTCAAAAGCAGATGGTAGTTAGCTCGAACGATAAGATACTAGGTCGATCTGCGATCAGTGGATTTGTTAGGATATATTATATTGAAGCGTGATGTAGTTCGAGCCTCGGCTCGAACTAATCTTTCGAGGCTGGTAACGGTGTCGATTGATCCGACCTTACTCAGTATCTGAAAAGAGAATCTTAGAAATCAAGCTTAGGATGATTAAGAGCAAAGAGATGATGCGCTTGAGGTCCAACATCTACTAGATCTAGGGAGGGGGGGGGGGGTCAGGGGCAGAATACTGAAGGCGGGCCTGACCGCCTTCAGCTGCCCTACTTCGATGTCGGGATTCGGGATAACCTCACATCACGTGATATCAGAATCAAGATCCCGTCGACATTTCGACCACGTACATGCTATTCTAGACCCATTTCGAGCAGCAAATGAAGCAGGAAGGTAGTATTTAAGCCATTAAACCAGGTTTTGAATTCGTATGACCGTGACTTCTATGAACATTAAAGCATAAGCAAAAAAGCTATGTAACCTCGTAATCGACCCCTTTTTGACCTTTCAAACGCATTTAAAAGTCCTCATCGTCAGAAACCTCTTCACCCCGCTTTTTCCTAGCAATTCTCTCCTTGCGCTTCTTACGTAATTCGCTAGAAGTGAGCTTCTTCTTCTTCTCAACGACAGTCTGAAGTCAAAGTTAGCATCAGGGGTCATCAAAATATCGGATATATCCGAGGGGAGGGGGTGGGGGCGGCGGAAAGCCGAGAGCGGAAAGAGGAGGGAATAGCATACCTTGTTGCCCATGGCATCGACGATCTCAGTATCGCCGGCGTTCTTGTCCTCCAGACGGGGACCGGAACCCTGACCCTGAACCCAGTTGTGGCCGGAGGGGGTCATCTTACCGTCGACGACGGCCCAGACTTCCTCAGTCAGGTTCTCAGTGAACTCACGGGAGTGAGTGATGATGATAACACCACCCTCGAAGGTCTTGATGGCCTTGGACAGGGCACCGAGGGAGTCACGGTCCAGGTAGTTGGTGGGCTCGTCCAGGACGATGACGTGGGGGCGCTGCCACGAGCAGGCGGCCAGGACGACCTTGACACGCTGACCACCGGACAGACCGCGCATGCGGGAGTGAGAGACAAGCTCGGCGTCGAGACCGAAGTTCTCGCAGTGCTGCTCGATCTCCTTGCGGACCAGGGGACGGAACTGACCGCTGGCGAGGGCCTCCTTCTGATCGACCTCGGCGACCATCTTGGCGTGGGACTGCATGATCTCGGAACGAGGAATCCAGGCGTTGTCGGTGGACATCATGGGGGTCCAGCGCTCGGACTTCATGCCGATGTTGTCACCCAGGGCGAACGAACACTCGTACTCGTAGCTGTTCTTGAACTTTCTACGGGCGTGGATACCAATGACGCGACGGAAGGTACCCTCGATCTTGTAGATCTTGTCCATGGCCTTCTCGTCCTCCTCGGTGACGATCTTGTTGGCACGGTCCATGGTCTCACGGTCCTCACCAGTCTGGAAACGCCACTGGATGTACTCGGAGGGAGTCTTGTCGAGGTGGTTATCGATGTGGGCGAAAGCGTGCTGCTTGATGTAGGCGATACGGATGTTCTCGTGCTGGTAGACGTCACCAGAGGTGGGGATCAACTCACCGGTCAGGACGTTGACCAGAGTGGATTTACCGGCACCGTTGGGACCGATGACAGCAATACGAGAGCCCAGGGAGACCTGGAAGGTGATGTCGGTGATCTGGGGCTTGGGGGTGTTGGGGTACTGGAAGGTCATATTGTTGACACGGATGATGGCCTTGGCCTTGGTCTTGACACCCTCAAGGAAACCGGGCTCGGGGAACTTGAACTCGATCTCGGAGGCACCGAGCTCATAGTAGGAGCGAGCGGCAGGGACACGCTTGACGAACTCGCTCAGGTTACCACGGTAACGCTTGAGCTTGAAGCGCTCGTAGTGGACGACGTGCTGGATGACGTTGTCCAAGAACTTGCTGTCGTGGGAAACGATGATGGACGTGCAGGGGGAGGTGCAGAGGTAGTTCTCCAACCAGGCGACGTTCTTGACGTCCAAGTGGTTGGTAGGCTCATCCAGCAGAAGGATATCGGGGTCCTCGAAGACGGCACGGGCAAGAGCCAGCTTCATCTTCCAACCACCGGAAAGGGAGGTGATGGGGCCCTCGAGCTGCTCCTTGAGGAAACCGAACTCCAGAAGCTTGGCCTCGACTTCGGACTGAGGGATCTCAAGACCGACCTCGCGGAGCTTCTTCATGGTCCAGCCAATGACAGTCTGCTCAGTATCGGCAGCGTCCAAGTCGTGCTCGACGTAGACGGTCTTGACCTCGGACTTCTTGGGGAAACCCTCGAGCTGCTCATTGTTGATGGCGCGCATAAGAGTGGTCTTACCGGTACCGTTGGGACCGAGGAGACCGTAACGCTGACCACGCTTGAGGCGGAGGTTGGTCTGGTTGAGCAGGATCTTGGCACCGTAGGCCAGGGAGAAAGTGCAGTTACACAGATCCTCACCCTCCTCCTCATCGGAGAGGACGGCATCAGCCTCAGCAGCGAGGGGAGAAGCCTTCTTGCGGAGGGTCTCGACGACGCTCTTGGCATCCTCCTCACCGACGATGGCGGCAATGTAGGGCTGGGCGTTCTGGGTCCAGCTGGTGACCTCAGCGTCCTTCTCGTCAACGAGCTGACCGGCAACGGCACCGACGTAGTTGATGACAGCCTCAGCGCCCTCGGCCTGGGTGGTGTGCTTCTCCTTGAGGATGTCCTTGAGAATAGCAGCGACGGTGGAGATGTCACCGGCGGTGGAGATCTCGGGGATCTTGCCGTCCTTGACATCACCGACACGGGTAAGAGTCTCCAAGGCCTGCTTGGTCTTGCCACGGGCCTCAGGGTCGGCCAGGGTCTCGAAGTTCTTCTCGAGACGGGGCATCAACTTGGGCAAGAAAGGAGCGACGATCTGGGGATCCTCGACCAGCTTACACATGTTGTCGACGATGACAGCGGACTTACGCTTGATGGCGGTCTCACGCTCAACAAGACCACGGTCAAGCAGGGGGACCATGATAGCGAGGGTAGGTCCGGTGACGTCGGAGACGAAAGTGGTGGCACCGAGCAAGTGAACGGTCTCGGAGACGTTCTCAGGCTTGGCGATACACTTGATGAGCTCAGGAATGAAACGCTCGATATCCTTGTTGACGATCAGACCGCAGACCTTCTCCATGGTGCCGTAGGCGGCCTTCTTGATCTCAGCCTTGGTGTCCCACATAGCCTCGGAGACGACGGGGATCAGGTCAGGAACACGGAAAGAGAGCTGAGCGGGGGCAGACTCGACGAGAGCCTCAATGCACTCGAGAGCAGTGGCCTTCTCTTGCCACTTCTGGGCGTTCTGGAGGGAGTTGAGGATGGGGGGGAGGACGGCCTTGACAGCGTTGCCGTTGATGCCCTTGACGATGGCGATAGCGGCAGCGGAGGCAGCGTTCTTGACGGGAACCATCTTGTCACCGACGGTAGCGAGGACGTCACCGAGGATGGCGACAAGGTGGGGCTCGACACCAGGAGCGATGGTGGAGTGGGAAGCAATGGCGCGGATGGCGTTGCAGGCACGCTCACGGGCGTTGGCATCCTTCTTGTTGGCGAGCTGCTTCTTGAAAGCCTCGACAGCCCTAAGTCCGGGTGGTTAGTCTCGTTCTCCCGTCTGCAGAATTTTCCGGTCTGACTCGAATGACCAGACCACGCAATGATGACGATGACGATGATACTCACTTCAGGGGCAGAACCTGCTCGGGGATGGGACCGCTGAACAGGTGAGCCAGGTTGTCGGTGGCAGCGTTGACCTCATCCTGGGAGGTGGAGAGGTTGAGGTTCTTGAGAAGGTCCTCGAGAACAGCCACGGACTGGGCAGTCTCCTTGCTGGTGGCAGCAGGAAGGGAAGAAGCGTCAGCAGCAGGCATTTTGGTCGTTAAAGGTTCCGAAGAATCGTAAGAGAAAAAAGGATAAAAAGCGAGAACGTGTGAAAAAACGTTCTAGGGTATCTCGAGAAGAGGAGGTGGTGGCCCACGAAAGATTGCGTCTGATTCACAAAAGACGCAACGCACGCTCTAAAACGGCCTCTATTTTTGTTTGTCCAACAAAGACAAAGGAGAAAAACACAAGAATTTTTAGAGGAACAAAACCTCTTTTGAAAAAAAGGGAGAGATGAAGGATGAGGGGGGAGAGAGGGAGAGAGAGAGAGAAGGAGGGAAAGGAGGGGAACAGGGTAGATTGGGGGGGTATGATATTTATCGCTTTGTGGCCTTTTTTTCGCCGCCCAACACCCGCTCAGCTATTAAAAAATTTAAAGAAAAATTTTTTCTTGTTCCTTAGAATGGGTCGCACTAGCGCCGGATATAGTTTAGGGTCGGTTTCGATAGGACTCAGCGACTCAGCAGCAGCCAACCCACTGGAGTCTGTGGCTACGACCGTGGTCAATCGACAACCCTCAATGGCTGGCCGGCGGGGGCGGCAGTGGCTGAGTCAGCCACTTCCCTGCCAACTTTCTCTTTCCCCCCCACCCATTGATTCCACTCCCATATGTAAGATTCTTGCTCTGGCTCTGGTTCTGGCTCTTGCTGTTGCTATCCATCGAGTCTCTTTGCTATTGTCCGCCATCGATCCATCTATCGCCTCCTTCCTTCTCAACGGGATCCCGAAGTTTGCCTTCCGCAATTATTCATACTCATGTATACAACGAATTCTGATAGATAATTCTAACTAGTCATCACTAGTGATGAACAATTGACAGAAGGAAACTACCAAACTCGGACTCGACTACCAGCCAACCCCACCGCAAGCACGTATCCTCATTATTTGATTCCACCAATATACGGATGTTATACAAGACCCTCGACAGGGCTGAGAATCGCGGCTCATCACGATATCCGACCCATTCTGATAATCTCCCCAGTTGTTCATGTTTGCAAGTCACTGCAATTAATCCAGCGGTATAAGGAGGGCGGCCTTAGCGCATCCCTACATGTACGGAGTAGAAAAAAGCATAAACCCCCTCCCCGCCTCCCCTCCCTTCATGGATAGATACTATCAAAAAGTCAAGTTCATCCCCTTCCCAGCGATGATTCCGGGGTGCAGCAATCCGTTCCTTCAAAGCTGATACGTAGCGCGCGCATTGCGGAACGGCTGTAGGTGGTTCTCCGCCGCCGCCGTCGCCCCC